CAACAGGATTCTTCAGTTTAATGCAGGAGAACACTGGAGACAGTAAAAGTAGAAGTATTGTCGTGATCAGTCCGTCAGTTCTGACAGGAGATGGGCAGCCTCTCAAACCTAAATTACAGCATGCACTAAAGCAGAAAGGAGGCGAAGCAGTTGTTGTCGAGGTCACAAGTGAGGAGGGACCACTGCTGGAACAGGTCATGATAAATAATGATTTAGCAAGGGAGTTGTGGAAGACCTCCCCAACACCGAGATACCACAGTGTTGCGGTAGACCTCCCCAACACCGCGATACCACGGTGTTGCGGTAGACCTCCCCAACACCGAGATACCACGGTGTTGCGGTAGACCTCCCCAACACCGAGATACCACAGTGTTGCGGTAGACCTCCCCAACACCGCGATACCACAGTGTTGCGGTAGACCTCCCCAACACCGCGATACCACGGTGTTGCGGTAGACCTCCCCAACACCGAGATACCACAGTGTTGCGGTAGACCTCCCCAACACCGAGATACCACAGTGTTGCGGTAGACCTCCCCAACACCGCGATACCACGGTGTTGGCGGTAGACCTCCCCAACACCGCGATACCACGGTGTTGCGGTAGACCTCCCCAACACCGAGATACCACGGTGTTGCGGTAGACCTCCCCAACATCGAGATACCACGGTGTTGCTGTGTCAGACAACTATATTACTGATGGTATACAATACTGTTGTATACAATATAAATCCCGAAATCGTAATAACACGATTGCATACCAACCACGGAACGGGTGGGGTTAGAACCCATGGCAAGCGAGTCCTAAAACTCAAAGGCCCAGTGGTTAACGCACTGGCTTGAGAGCTTTTGGACTCACCATGGGTTCAGCCCCCACCCGTTCCCTGATATATACAATATACTATAAAACATTAGGTCTGGGCACATGCCTACCAATAGGCTTGAGGGACTGATCACTTTCTACTAAGGCTGACGGACTGATTAAATCACCTATATTCGATTGGAGATGCTTGTTGTGGAGGCGAAACGTTCCAGCAAGAAAGATACCTAAGTGAACATCAAAATGGTATACAATACCGACAGGTTGTTAGGTAAGACACATATGCAACAGTTAGACAACTTTATTCCGAAACGTTTCGCCTACACAGTAGGCTTCTTCAGTCGAATACAGAAAGTAGGCAGGAACAGTAGAGATGTGAAGACGATGTAATCAGTCCATCACCCTTAAAGTCGTAGAATTTGAGGTTGTCAGTCCCTCGGCCTGGAGAAGTTCAGTTCCATAGTCAGGAACTATCTGAAGATCAAGCGACAGTGCGGAGACTTAAATACTGTCGGAAGGAGAGGTGCAGGGTAGTAGTAGTAGTAGAAGTAGTAGTAGTAGTGAGAGGCCACTGAGAGGTCATGTCCCTCTCAGATCCAACGCTTCTCACTTAAAAAGCTTGTCCAAGGTGTTTTCTGTACCAAGATGCCACGTGTTGCAGTGTCTGACAAGTTCCTGACTATGGAACTGAACTTCTCCAGGCCGAGGGACTGACAACCTCAAATTCTACGACTTTAAGGGTGATGGACTGATTACATCGTCTTCACATCTCTACTGTTCCTGCCTACTTTCTGTATTCGACTGAAGAAGCCTACTGTGTAGGCGAAACGTTTCGGAATAAAGTTGTCTAACTGTTGCATATGTGTCTTACCTAACATATCTAAGTGAAGTAAAGATGTCTTATTCATCAAATTCCTACAAGACGTAAGGAAGACACAAGGCAAAATTCTTAGGCTATGTCCACATTAATAAAATGTATTAGATGTGTTTCTCTGTGTCTTTGTGTTGATTGGATGCTAGAAAATAGATTAATATTCGTCCTAGTCAGCAAGGTAAGACTGAGTGTAGTCGAGGGGACTTGGCTGGTAGCCAAGACACTATGCTCTTCCCTTCACTCATAGAGACTATGCTCTTCCCTTCACTCGTAGAGACTATGCTCTTATCTTCATTCGTAGACTATGCTCTTCCCTTCACTCGTAGAGACTACGCCCTTCCCTTCACTCGTAGAGACTATGCCCTTTCCTTCACTCGTAGACACTATGCTCTTCCCTTCACTTGTAGACTATGCTCTTCCCTTCACTCGTAGACTATGCTCTTCCCTTCACTCGTTGAGACTATACCCTTCCCTTCACTCGTTGAGACTATACCCTTCCCTTCACTCGTAGAGACTATGCCCTTCCCTTCACTCGTAGAGACTATGCCCTTCCCTTCACTCGTAGAGACTATGCTCTTCCCTTCACTCGTAGAGTATGCTCTTCCCTTCACTCGTAGAGACTATGCCCTTCCCTTCACTCGTAGAGACTATGCCCTTCCCTTCACTCGTAGAGACTATGCCCTTCCCTTCACTCGTAGAGACTATGCTCTTCCTTTCACTCGTTAAACAGTAGTCTACATCTCTGTCTCTCTTCTGAGCTCTACACCTCAGTTTATCTGCAGCAATTGTTAATCATCTTTGTAATATTATACAATGTTTTACGAAATTAAATATTACTGAACAATAGACAGTCATCACATTTCTCAGGTAAGATAATGTGTGTCAAGGGTTGTGCCAATACCTTGGTTTAGGTCAGGAAACAAGACAAGTGTTTCCTGACGCAGGTTTTAGTTATATGATGAGCCGCTGGAGTTTTTGGTCATCTGACGAGGCTCACCGGTCCATCCCTTTAAAAATTATGGTTATAATTATAGCCATTTTTGATTCTCTACCTTGGTTCTGTTCTGTAGCTGACTGATTACCGTTGATCCCAGCCACCATCGTCTGGTTCCTTCAAAGTATATAACAAGAAAAGGCACAATACCGTGACTGGAACGAAACACAAATAACCCGCACATAAAAGAGAGGAGCTTACGACGACGTTTCGGTCCGACTTTGACCATTGACAAAGTCACACTTTGTCAATGGTCCAAGTCGGACCGAAACGTCGTCGTAAGCTCCTCTCTTTTATGTGCGGGTTATTTGTGTTTCCTTCCAAGTCTTTAATGATACGTTTGGAATCTTTCCAGTCCACAATTCAGATTTACGGTAAACCCCATTAATAATAACAGTCTTATTCACGTCTCCCATAATGCCATAAATACAAAATTAGGAGCTTTAACTGGCTTCTTTTGACAGATCTTCTGACAGTCACATAGAAATTGTGATGCGAGAAGCCATTCGTGTCATAACCAGACCTTGATACAGAGAACCAAACAGCAATAGTGTTGGTGGTAAACAATAAATATGAGTGTTAGGTAAATGGACACAGATGCAACTAATGTGACATTTTATTGTAGCAACGTTTCGCTCTCCAGGAGCTTTATCAAGCCGTTAGGGCTTGATAAGTTCCTGGAGAGCGTAACGTTGCAACAGTAAAATGTCACATCAGTTGCATCTGTGTCCATTTACCTAACACTCATATTTATTGTTTACCACCAACACTATTGCTGTTTGGTTCTCTGTATCAAGGTCTGGTTATGACACGAATGGCTTCTCGCATCACAATTTCTATGTGACTGTCAGAAGATCTGTCAAAAGAAGCCAGTTAAAGCTCCTAATTTTGTATTTATGGCATTATGGGAGACGTGAATAAGACTGTTATTATTAATGGGGTTTACCGTAAATCTGAATTGTGGACTGGAAAGATTCCAAACGTATCATTAAAGACTTGGAAGGAAACACAAATAACCCGCACATGAAAGAGAGGAGCTTACGACGACGTTTCGGTCCGACTTGGACCATTGACAAAGTGTGACTTTGTCAATGGTCAAAGTCGGACCGAAACGTCGTCGTAAGCTCCTCTCTTTTATGTGTGGGTTATTTGTGTTTCCTTCCAAGTCTTTAATGATACGTTTGGAATCTTTCCAGTCCCATATGACGAAGGTCACGAAGCGTCGCCACCAGAATGCTGGAACACCGGTAAACTTGCAACGAGGGCCTGGAACTAGCGATCATCGGTGCATCAGACACCACTGAACTGAACCGGGGTACTTTCACCCTAGCAAAATCTTAACTCACTTTATCTTACACTGGAAGCACTCAGCCCTTAAACTGCATTTCGCTCAACCAATAGAGAAATGTGTTTTCAATCAAGGGTTGTTCTGCTAATTGTGGATATATTCTCATAGATACATCTGGTGTCAACTTGTGTAAATAATTAAAAGACACAATACGGTGACTGGAACAATGCACAGATAACCTGCACATAAGAGACTGAAACTTAAAACGACGTTTCGGTCCGACTTGGACCATTAACTGGTGGTCCACGTCTGACCGAAACGTCGTCATAAGTTTCAATCTATTATGTGCGGGGTTATTTATCCAATGTTTAAATAATTTATGCATCTTATTACCTTGACAATATTCCCATGAAGAGCGAGAGTTTATATGTACTCACTGAGCTCGCTAGTACTGAAGTTTACATGTACTCACTGAGTTCGCTAGTGCTGAAGTTACATGTCCTGAGTTAGGCTGATTTACAAGAACTCACTGAGCTCGCTAGTACTGAAGTTTACACGAACTCACTGAGCTCGCTAGTGCTGAAGTTTACAAGAACTCACTGAGCTCGCTAGTACTGAAGTTTACACGAACTCACTGAGCTCGCTAGTGCTGAAGTTTACACGAACTCACTGAGCTCGCTAGTGCTGAAGTTTACACGAACTCACTGAGCTCGCTAGTGCTGAAGTTTACACGAACTCACTGAGCTCGCTAGTGCTGAAGTTTACACGAACTCACTGAGCTCGCTAGTGCTGAAGTTTACACGAACTCACTGAGCTCGCTAGTGCTGAAGTTTACACGAACTCACTGAGCTCGCTAGTGCTGAAGTTTACACGAACTCACTGAGCTCGCTAGTGGTTTGAAGTTATTATACGAACTCACTGAGCTCGCTAGTGCTGAAGTTTACACGAACTCACTGAGCTCGCTAGTGCTGAAGTTTACATGTACTCACTGAGCTCGCTAGTACTGAAGTTCAAATTATATCGGCAGGAGCGATGGTGCTACTGGAGGTGTATTTGGTGCCGCTGGTGTCCAGATTCTACTCTTCACCAAAGGTTATGCAACTCTACAACACAAGACACGAATTTGACGTAGTTATGACGGACCATCTTTTCAATGAGGTAACTTGAATTTCGCTTTAGATTTTCTTTTAGTCTTGTGTTCCGACTCATGGTTTAACTCACCATGCAAGTCACCTTCAAACTCATGTTCTACCTCACGTTCTAATTCATGTTCAAATTCATCTTCTTACTTATGTGTTTCGCCTTTAAGGCAGGCGAAATTGATGACCTGGAGAGTATACAGAGAACTTTTACGACACACATAAGTACGATCAAACACCTAAATTACTGGGAACGGCTGAAGTCCCTTGATTTGTATTCCTTGGAACGCAGGTGAGAGAGATGCATGATAATATATACTTGGAAAATCCTAGAGGGATTAGTACGAAACTTGAACACGAAAATCACTCCCAATGAAAGCAAAACACTCGGCAGGAGATGCAACATTTCCCCCAATGAAAAGCAGGGGTGCCACGAGTACATTGAGAGACAACACAATAAGTGTCCGGGGCCCAAGACTGTTCAACTGCCTCCCAGCATACGTAAGGGGAATTACCAATAGATCCCTGGCTGTCTTCAAGAAGGCACTGGACAGGCACCTAAAGTCAGTACCTGATCAGCCGGGCTGTGGTTCATACGTCGGTTTATGTGTGGCCAGCAGTAACAGCCTGGTTGATCAGATCCCTGGTCTCAGACAGGGCTTAGGGGGCGATGACCCCCGAAACCCTCTCCAGGCATACTCCAGGTATACAACTCATGATCCAACTCGCCTTCAAACTTATGTTCTAGTAATTCATTTTATAAGTCATTGTCTAACTCACTTTGTAGCTCATGTTAAGTTCATCTTCTAATTCGTGTTTCATCTCACTGATGTTTCGACTAGTGTTCTTGCTAGTAGAAACGTGACTTAGAACTTACATTCTAAATCACGTTCTGATTCATGTTTTAAGTCATGTTCTAACACACATTTTCACTCACGTTCTAACTAGAATTCCAATTCATTTTCCAAGTCATGTTCTCTCCCATATTTATGTTTTATCGATGTTTTAAATCACATTCTAACTATAATTTAGCGAATGTTCTCTTGCATGTTCAATATCAAGTTCTGATTAAATTCTAAGTTATGTTTTAAGTCGTATTCTAAGTCACATTCTGAATCATTTTCAAACTACCATTATAACTCATTATCACTCAAAAATGGAATGAACCCACAAGGCTACAATTTTTGTTTTTTAATATTTCGACTTTGATCTGAGGTCCTTTTCAGCAGAACGCAAAGACGTCTTATATACGGTGTTACATAGTGGTGAGCATCTGAACTTAGTGGTCAATATAATTCTCTGGGTGCCTCACTGGGACGTGTCCGTCCAAAGACATTGACAAGCACAAACAAATAGGGATGTTAAATATTTTTTTCATTAACGAAGTATATATAACAGATTTTTAAATCAATACACTAGGAAGCATGGAATTCCCATTTTTTGCGGGGGGGGGGGGATATTACCTGGTTCAAATCGGGCAACAGTTGCTCTCAGAGAAATTTGTGAAACAGGTTATTGTAATAGGCTAATACAAAGCTCAGTGCACAGCGTACTTAATTTTCTTTTACATCAGCCTTTCATCTGATTATATCTTGTATCAATGAGACGAAAAAAATCTCATGGAGATATAATGTTTCCAGGAAGGGGGCGACGCTCCCCTCTTGTGTCCCCTTGGACGAAGAGTGGCTTTCCCATGTTCGTCTTGATCTATAAGTCCACTAACCCGCCAGTCTGGTCCACCCAACCCTCTGATGTCCTCGGAGAATGAAACAAGTGTCTCAGTCTCTAGGTCACTTACCCATCTTGACTAATTCCTCGTCTCTTCAGACCTGATCTTGAATGTGGCATATAAAATGACCATGTCATCTTCTAACCTCACCTGATCTTGACTGCCTCCTTACTCACCATATAGTCTCACGCCTGCTTTGCTTTCCTCCTCCTCCTCCTCTCTCTCTCTCTCTCTCTATCGTGACTTTATAATAGTTCAGAAAGGACCGAGACCTGATCTGAAGATCGATTTCAAACATTGTGATATAGTTGTAGAAGAATGTGGCAGCACGACTATTACAACCCAGGAGTCCAAAATGGCTGGAACCTGGGTACTGGTTGAACGACAGGGCCCCATCGTCAACCCTCAGTCACCTGGTTCGCTGGTTGGGGGGGGGGGGGGGGAGCCTGTAAATGAGGGTGTGTAACTTGCGCCGAATAAAGATTACGTGCTCTTTGCATGCCACAACGACACTGTGGTAAGATACACATTGCAGAAGAGTCTTTAAGCTTGCAACCTTTCACCACAAACTGGCTTTATGAAACTGTTGCGATGAAGCATCTGTGGAGACAGAGAACTCTATCCACGGAACCAGAAAGAAATGTACCGGAACACAGTGCTACCAACACTCTTATAAGGGTATGAAGCATGCATGGGTTTTAAACGTTGCAGCAAAGAAGAGGCTGGAGGCAATGGAGATGTCGTGTCTGAGGGTAATGTGTGATGTGACTATTATGCAGAGAATTCGTAGCTTGGAGATTAACACGAGGTGCGGGGTTACTAAAAAAAATTATCCATATGGCTGAGGAGGGGTTTATTGAAGTTGTTTCGACATTTAAAGAGGATGGAGAAAAATGGGATGACTTGGTGTGTGTATATATCTATGGTGGAGGGAGGGAAGAAGAGGAAGGGGCCGTCCTAGGAAAGGTAGGATGGAAGGAAATAAGTGAGTTTTTGTTCAAATTCAAATTCAAATTCAAAATTTATTCTCTATAAGGATTACAATGCTGAGTTTACAGAATTTGGTTAGTGTGTGGTTTACATGTAGTAAAATAATAATTACAGAGTGTACCACTAGAACACCTAGCATGGCTAGGCATTTCGGGCAGACTTAAATTAAATCTTATGTTTAAAATATTACAAAATTATGAGGTTAGTTGGTATTATGGCTAAGTGACTAAATACTAGTTTGTGAGTTTAACAATGTCAATGCTTTTGTTTTGGCACTATACATAGTTTCATTATTGGAGTATCACAGGCCAACTTATGACTAGTTAAGATTCATTATTTTGAGATTGAGATTGATATTTCTGTTTATGGTCAAATGGGTGAGTGAAAGTGTTAATCACCAGGTGGTATTCGTGTAATTAGTTGACAGGGTGTATCAGGGAGATAAGATGTTTTCTGATGGTAGTTTTGAAGGTGATGAATGTGTCTGCAGTTTTAGAATTTTCAGGTAGGGTGTTACAGATTTTAGGGCCTTTGACATACATTGAATTTTTGTAAAGGTTTAGTCGGACACGGGGAATGTCATAGAGATGTTTGTGTCTGGTGTTGTGCCTGTGGGTTCAGTCGCATCTATTAAGAAAGCGTTTTAGGTCAAGGTTAATATTGGAATTTAAGGTCCTGTAGATGTAGATTGCACAGTAGTAAGTGTGGATGTACTGAACAGGGAGTAAGTTTAGATCTATGAAGAGTGGGGGGGGTGTGTTGCCAAGGATGGGATTTAGTGATTATTCTTACTGCGGCTTTTTGTTGGGTTATTATTGGCTTTAGGTGTGTTGCTGCAGTTGAACCCCAAGCACAGATAGCATAGGTGAGGTATGGATATATAAGTGAATGGTATAGTGTGAGAAGGGCAGTTTGCGGCACGTAGTATCGTATCTTGGAGAGGATCCCAACCGAAGAGCTTCGACATCCAACAGGCACATATGAGCGTGTTAGAGAGAAGTGAGTGGAAACAATAGGTTTTTATGACTTGTACTCTTGAAATGTAAGCATTTATGAAGGGATTCAGGGAAACCAGTTACCTGGACTTTAGTCCAGGAGGTGAAAAGTACAGTACCTGCACTCTGAAGAAGGGACGGGGATATTGGTGTTCGGAGGGGCATCTGAACTGTAATGTCGGCACGCCTCTGGAAAAACGGAGTGAGTGATGGCGTCTTTCTTCTTTTTCTGGGTAGTCAGATGCTGAGTGGGTAAGAGCCGAAGTCAGGTGGAATAGTTGTGAAAGTCAACTCTCCTGTATTCCAGATAGGTTACCCTTTTGCTGTGGGAATGCCGTTCATCACCTTGGCCACTGCGGGCGTGGATCCGCATCAGAGCGCCATCATGGGCAACGTTCTCAATCCTGCGTACGTGCCCAACGCATTCTTCAACTATCCAAGACCTTACTCTCTCTTTGACCGCCTCCACAACCTCTACACAATACTGCACGAAGGTGGTTACTGGCGTGTCTGGGGTATGATGCCCAAGATACAGAGAGAGGTGTGTTGACCATCACTGTTCCTTAATAATAATAATAAATTATATTTATTATTCTCCTTGTAAATAATAATGTTATGCATAGCAGGTGTTTACCATCGTCACTCAATAATAATAATAATAATATTTTGTTTCTTACAACATCTGCCGTTTCCCACCAAGGCAGGTTGACCCGGAAAAGAAGATACACTTTCATCATCATTTACTCCATCACTATTTTGCCATAGGCGTGCCGACACTACTGTTAAAAAGCTGCAACATGTCTCCCCCCTCCTTCAGAACGCAGGCACTGTACTTCCCACCTCCAGGACACAAGTCCGGCTAACCGGTTTTCCTGAATCCTTTTATAAATGCTACTTTGCTCATATTCCAACAGCATGTCAAGTCATGAAAACCATTTGCCTCAACTCGCTCCTATCTACCACGTTCACGCACGCTTGCTGGAAGTCAAAGTCCCTTGCCCACAAAAACCTCATTTTTCCCCTTCCTCCAACCTTTCCTAGGCCGACCGCTGCCACGTCAGATTTATATGCCTTCGAAGTCCTTTTATTTTGTTCCATCGTCTCTACATGTCCAAACCACCTAAACAACCCCTCCTCAGCCCTCTGGATAATATTTTTAATAACCATGTACCTCCTAATCTCTGAGCTATGGATTCTCTGCATGATATTCACACCACACATTGCCCTCAGACATGACATCTCCACTGCCTCCAGCCTTCTCCTTGTTGCAACATTCACCACCCATGCTTCACACCCATATAAGAGTGTTGGTACCACTTTATTCTGATATATTCCTCTCTTTGCTTCCATGGATAATGTTCTTTGTCTCCACAGACTCCTCACTGCACCACTCACATTTTTTTCCCTCGTCAATTCTATGATTCGCCTCGTCTTTCTTTATTTATATTATAATAGCAGTTTTATTTTAATGCGATTTATAGAAGCTTATAGATAAATGGGTCATCTCTGATTGCCATAATTTGATTGGTCGCTGCAGTGTTATCACACAGTGGACTTTATTAATTTTAAACCCCAAAATGATTTTTTTTCAAAACAGGTGTGATGTAGTCCAGCTGGGCTTGTGAGGTCTCTGGGGAGACCTAATTTAACCAATTATATGGTCACACCTTGCCTTGGCAAACGTCTGTAGCCACGCCCACGTCTGAGGTCTTTTTGTTCTTGACGGCGTCAGACCTAGGCGTCAGGTCGTACACGTGGTTGTGGAGGGTGCTTGGACCACCATAAAAGCCCAAGGAAGAGCTGAGTAGGGAGATTCAAGCGGAGCTGCTGCTGGGGTGCAGAGCTCCTGAGCAGAGATTGGAGCGGAGCTGCTGCTGGGGTGCAGAGCTCCTGATCGAGAGATTCGAGCGGAGCTGCTGCTGGGGCCCCCTTTATTTATTCCTATTTCTTATATTTTATTATGTTTATATATGAGTGAAGAGTGGGCGAGGCACATGTTAGTGAGTAGTGTCGAGTTGATGAGAGTGTCGTGGTGGTCACCACTGACCTGTCATTACCTACGCCGCGCGTCACTCGACTCACCTCTCCTAGCCAATCCCCTACCTACTCCCTGCCTACTGACTCCCTTACTCCCATAAACCCCAAGTAATCATTCAAATCATTACCCCCCTACATGACATGGTGTCTAAGCGGTGGTGGTTCTTCTTATTTTTATAGTAGGAACCAGTCCCATGTGCCTTATTTTTGACTGCTCGGTTACACTTCTTACGCTACCATTTGCTACCACTTTTTTTTTTTCTTGTGTGTGTAAAGTTAAAGTAAATATCAGTGTGATATTATAATCCTAGTGACCTTAACTGACCTTGTTTTTTTTGAAGGTGGGTCTGAGTAATTGTGTGGTTGTATTATTATATTTGGTGGAGTTGGTTGTTGGTTTGAGATAAATGGTGGATAATATCAGTATTTGGGTGAGACTTTTGGGGGAAGCAATTACTGGCTGAAATTGAATATTTACAGAGGAACGAGAAGTCACCCAGCCCACCTTGGAAGACTAGCCCACAACTGTCACCCATTGAAGAGATGCCTATGATTATTATCCACCTGATGTGCCCAGTCACTCAGTTGATGTGCCCCAGTGGATGCATTGCTGCCCTGGTCTGTCATCCAGTGTAGTGGGTGTCTGAGTCACCCAGTCTCTGTGACTATCACCCGCGGACCGCCAGTTACCCGCAGTTGCCAGGGATGGGTGACCGCACCTGCTGTTGATGACCTGAAGTGACCTCACCTCACCTTGAGCAACTGACCATAGCCTGCCACTGCTGATGTCGGCTGCTGTGATGCTGTTTGCTATGCTGTGGCTGTGCTGTGATGCTGTCTGCTATGCTGGGACTGTGCCGGGATGCTGAGATGTTGGGACCGTGCTGTGATGCAGTAGCCATGCTGTGATGCTGCGATGCTGCCTAGCTCAGGAGGAGATGGCGGTGATGCTGCACTGGTGTGTGAGGGATCCTGGCTGGTGTGCCAGGACAGGAGAATCTACTATGAAGGAGCTGCCATCCTCGGAGATGTGGAAGGACATGAGCCGCGGAGATGGACTCCAGCTGCTGGGACCAGCCTGCTATCAAGGGCGGTATGGAGGTGTATCCTGCCTTGCTGGTCGACCTGTACGATCGGTATGCGGGGATGCCCTGCCAGCGATGAGAGACAATTGAGTGTGAGATGTCCCCAGCCTACTTTGACTTGCCAGAAGTGTTAGTGTTACCTGTGTGAAATAAGGTGACCTTGAATACGGTCCAGTGATTATGGCCGCCTTGTTTTATGAGGCCATGTGAATCCTAGTAGTGGCATAGGATATGGAGGGTCTTAGCTGCGATGCCTGCCCTGTCTCGATTTCAGATGTTGTAGTGTGCATGTGAAGTGTGCCGAAAATGCGACCTTGGTGGTCGTGAAATGGTCCAGTTGCAGTTACTTGAAAGAATGCAACCCGTTGGAGCAGTTTTCCACGCCACAGAAGCCTAGAGAGGTTTGGCCCAATGCTTAACGTGCAAGGGTGACTAGCATTGGCTAGTGCATTTCTAGTAGAAGTAGGGAAGGCACTGGAGCCCGATATTGAGGTTTAAGGAGAAATGACGGGTAAGGAGGCTTTGCACCAGAGAGCAACTATTATGCTGGTCAACTGCGAGGTGTACTGATTACGCTGCCTTGTGGTAGATGAGAAGGTTGAGGGAAATATATGTAGTTGAATAATTTTGTATTATGTATAATTTTGTCTTTGTATTGTAATAGATTTAAGGGATTAGGATTAAAATAGTCTAATAACTAGGGCAAATTGTCCTAGTTCTCAGATATTTTAAATTGGGGGAGAAAGGGGGATGTGATGTAGTTCAGCTGGGCTTGTGAGGTCTCTGGGGAGACCTAATTTAACCAATTATATGGTCACACCTTGCCTTGGCAGACGTCTGTAGCCACGCCCACGTCTGAGGTCTTTTGTTCTTGACGGCGTCAGACCTAGGCGTCAGGCCGTACATGTGGTTGTGGAGGGTGCTTGGACCACCATAAAAGCCCAAGGAAGAGCATGATCAGGAGATTCGAGCGGAGCTGCTGCTGGGGTGCAGAGCTCCTGGGCAGAGACTTCGAGCGGAGCTGCTGCTGGGGTGCAGGGCTCGGGAGAAGGCTGCTGAAGTCTCTGGAGGAGACTGTTGGAGGCACTGGGCAGAGTACTGGCTTGGCGCAGTACTCGTGCTGTGTAGGTCTTGGGACTTGTGGCTTAGTTCCTGTAGTGAACTGTCCTCTGTACTATATTGTAAGTTATATTCATTTTCGTCAAGTTGATTGTGTTCCCTGTCTCACTGCTTATACATACCATCCCATTTATCTAAACCACAATAATGTTCTCCTGTTCCCAAATATATTATTGTACAAAGACTTAATAATAAACTGTGGTTGAGTAGTGTGGAGTGGTGGGTAGAGTAATGAGAGGTGAAGCTGTAGTCACCAGTGACCTCACGTTACCTACCAACCTCCACACTCATCCCTCCTAGCACATTAACTGCCTCCACACTCATCCCTCCTACTGCCTCGCCTGTCCCCTACCTACTGACTCCCCCCCGCTTACCCCCATATTCCCCTAATCATTACCCCCCCTACATGACACAGGGTATATTTATAAGAAGTGACTGTATATACAGAGAAAAAAATCAACAGTATTTTTCATTACATGGCTTCAAGAGATTTTAAAATATATCAAAGTTCATTTACATATTTAGCAACAACAGACTGAAGTTGAGTGCAGTGGAAGACATTCAGAATAACGGCAGTCACGAACAGCAAACCTAGTCAAACGAAGCTCTGGCAACTCTGTCTCACTTACGTTGAAGTCGAGACGTCCAACCAGTGGAGGTCTTTTGAAGCTAAGAGTCAGTCACTGTGCTTATCTGGTAGTCACACACGTAGGGAGCTAATGCACTGGTTCTTGACGTATCCAACCTTCCTCTTAAATTTATTACTTTACAGAGCTTGTGAAGTATGAAATGTCAGAACAGTACTACTAATATTGCCAAATTTCTTTGCATTTCAGCACGCAGACACAGATGTTATACAACCGTGGTGTATCCCTCTGCATGAAGGTGCCACTTCTTGAGGAATACCTGAGTTACTGTGCTATGTCTTGCAAATTTCATTCATGTATAATATTACGACATTTGGAAACAAACTTTAACTAACAGTTATAGTATTATTGGTTCTGTATCGTGGGATATATTTTTTTTATCTCACATGATGCTTCAGTAAAGCAAAATAGAATGATTTTGCTTATTTTTAAATAACCAAGCACTCTGCCTGTGAATAATGCTCAAATTGTGGTAACACTTTTGGTAACCAATGATAGATTGCCTCGTTGTCCAATGCATTGCTACAGCCGAGATTTCTCAATAGTTTTTCATCACCATGGAGACATGTTTCTCATCACGATAGAGACATGTTTCTTATCACGATGGAGACATGTTTCTCATAAACTGATCAACAGCAACGTAAGAAAACTCT